TTAAATAAAAGCAGAAAAACTACTCACGTTATAATGAGAGCGGCCTCTCTAGAGTAATCCAGCAGTACCTCATTTAGACGGATCTGGCGAAGAGACTGAAATCCACAGGAAAAACAAACAAAACGTTCAAACTAAGACGGGATGCGCGAGAAAAGAAGAAACGTTTTGGCTTGGTTTAAACATATTTGATCAGTTTGTGTCTGACCTTGGCCTTGTTCTTCTCGAAATCCTGGTCCGTGATCATCCAGGGCTCCTGATGTTGGCTTGCACATCCAGAGTCTGAGTCCGGCTTAGAATTTGTATCCACCCTGAAGCGACTGACCATCTTCTCAAACTGATGGACACTGAAGCACACAGAGACAGAGTTTGGAGTTATTCCATCTCAAATCATCGTGGGCCTTCTGTTCAACTGTCTGGTTTTAAACTTTAGCTTCACATATCATACTGTACTTTTCAAGACATCTTTTTTTTTCTTTCAAATTCATTTTTCATTTAAATAAATCAGCTGTAGTCTGAGATAGACACATTATAAAATAAATAAATAGGGAAGCTAAAATGTTATATCTCCCTATATATGCTCAAACTCTGAACCAAAACAATTCTGTTCAAATCTGAGACGCCTGAGCAGAAAATGTAAAACAAATTGCTGATTAGTTTTAGAAGAAAAAACTCCTAAATTCAGCTAAATTGAATATTTTTTATTTTTTTAGATGCAGCAGCTCATAGATTAAGTGAAATCTTAAAACAGTTATCTAAAGATTTTTCTGAAATACTGTGTTCAAATATATTCTTTGTCATAAGCAACAATCTCTAAAGTCAGCATGGCGCCAAAATCTGCAGTTCGTCTAATGGCCACTAGAGGCCGCTTTCAAAAGTGAGTGAGTCCTCATAGACTCTCCCGGCTCTTCACAACAGCTGTTTGGTGGGTGGGGATATTATAAAAGATTAAAGTTAGTAATTTGGCTAATTTACTTCATGTACCAAAAAAACCCCCAAACAAACCCTAAAATAAAATTAAAAAAAACCAAAAAACCGAGTGATCAGGATTCTTATGTTAGCTGACAGCAGCTTTTTTGGCTCACATTCCCAAACATTCATCCTTCATTCTCATCTTCAAGCTTACTTCATCTGCTGAGGAGGCTGGTTGATTTCAGGAAGGACTTCGACACTATGGAAACCGAGACGGAACTTCTTGATGAGCTCCAACACCCTGGAAAGAGAACGTGAGGCTGGAGTGAGCACATGTCTAACAGCGTGCAGTCTGTGTCTGCGAGAACGCAGGATGTCACACCATATA